GTTCCTCGCAGGGCCTCGTCCTTCCCGCGCGGGTCCAGGGTGTTCGTGCTTCCAGCCGGAGCGCTGGGCAGGTCGCTCTTCTCGCAGTCCCGGGCCTTCTCGGCGATCTTCCCCAGCCCCCCGACTCAGGGGCGTGGGATTCTCACCCAGCCCTTCTGGCGCCCCTGCTTTCGCAGCCCTCCATTACAGCGGGGACAACTGGCCTTGCCGGTCCACGCCCGTGGTCAGTCTTTCCAGTTAAATATTTTGCCTGGTTCTATCGCAGCCTTTCTCCCCAGTCACGGACTTTTATCTCAGGGCGGCTACAATCACCATCCCCGTGAATGTTGGAGTCCCCGAAACTGAGGCCTGTTAGGACTTCGCCGTCCCTGCCCGCTGGCCCTGGGGTGGCACTGATAGCGAGCGAGCGAGTGTAACCTCCACTTCGGCAGCAGGCCAGCCTTTGCGCCCTCTTCTTTCACCTTCAGCATGAGACTCCTGAAGTCTTCCTTTATCCAGCCAAGCGATATCATCGGCGTATCTGAGGCTGCTGATTTTCTCCCAGCAATTTTGTTTCGTCTAACCCAGCATTTCTCATGATACACCCTGCTCTTAAGTTAAATAAATCACTCATGCTCTAGGAAACAGAAATGAAGTATAAAATCATCTTGATAGGTTGGGCAAATGGGCAGAATGAAACTTGAGGATGACAAATGTAAAAGTCTTCACTTAGAAAACAAGAAGTCCCATTTGCTGCACTGATTCTGCTCCATCAACATGGGTGGATCCAGTTCCAGAGGAGAAGTGAGCCAAATTCTATTTAAACAGAAATAGGACTCACTCTGTCCCATAGCATTGTTCCTACCTCGACTGCTCATTTGAGGAGGAAAGCAGGATACAAATGGAAGATCTAAAGAGTAGAGGCGAAATAATTTTATATATTCATTGACAGGCCCTGCTCGCAGTCACCCAAGCCCTAGTCACCTCCTGTCTTGACTACTGTAATGCACTCTACATGGGGCTGCCCTTGAAAAGTATCTGGATGCTTCAATTGGTTCAGCATGCGGTGGCCCACATAGTTTTGTGCAAGCCTAGATTTGCCCACCTGTCACCTCTTTTGCGGGAGCTGCATTGGCTGCCAATTTGCTTCTGGGTCCAATTCAAGGTGCTGATTGTCACCTTTAAAGCCCTACATGGCTTGAGGAAGGTTATTTGAAGAACCGCCTTTTCCCAGTTTCATCTGCCCGACCCACCAGATTGGGGAGGCAGGACATGCTATGCCCCCCCCATTAAGGAGGTCCATCAAGGGCCTGAGAAGAAGGGCCTTCTCCGTGGTGGCTCCCTCCCTGTGGAGCATCATCCCCGCAGAGATAAGACTGGCCCCCACCTCAATGCTCTTCCGCAAGGGCCTGAAGACATGGTTTTGCCTGCAGGCCTGGGGATCCCAGGTCGATCTGGAGCCCTTCAGATGGCTAAATGTGTTGTTGTTGCCAAGGGGGTGGGGGGGGGTGGAGTGGGTTTTGTATTTGGGATTTTTATTCCTGTCAGCCACCCAGTGTCACCATGAGTTGGGCGGCCATATAAATTGATTAAATAAATAAATATTCTTTGGGATCCAGATTCTTTTCTCGGTTTTCAAGGCAACTTACAGGGGATCTCCCCTACCTTCATTTCCACATCAACAACCTGTGAGATAGGTTGGGCTGGCATCAGGTGAAGAGCTCCAGGTCACATCATGAGCTCTTTGTTCAAATGGGACTTGAACCTGGGCCTCTCTAGCCCCAGCCCGAGTGCACAGGAAGGTCCCGTGATCTCTGGAGACCCTGGCCCTCGTGTAACAGGCCTTAGACCTTCTCCTACTACTTGCTTGACACAGGAGAACCAGAAGGCAAAATTGATAGACCTCATACTAGTTCCCCAGTCCAACAAACAATATTAAAGATAGGCCATAAAATCTGTTCAGATAGTGCAACCAAAATTGTTCTCACGTGAATAGGTCACATGCCCAGTTCACAACTCTGGAGGAGCCACATGAAAACATGTAACAAGTGCCTGCGGCAAGGAGAGCATCATCTCTGGAGCACAGAGGAGACAGAGATCTCTTATCGTTGCCCCTTATTCACGCAAGCGGGAATGAGATCTGTTTCAGGCAAGCTGGGGGGCAAGGGGATTGCTGACCTTCGGATGCACTCGCTGTGCCCTGATATTAGATCCAGGTAAGGAAGGCTAAATTCCTTTAGATGGCAGCTGTGCCAGGGTCACTCAAAAGTGTGGTTACCCCAGAGGGGTCCTTCCTGTGACACCCGGACCCTGAAATGCTCTTCAGTTTGCTGTGTCTTTCTTGCCTTCTCTGCAGCAGCAGAACCTGGATTGTCTCAGGGCTCTGCCCCCAGATGTCTTAACTGTGGATGACTAGGAACTTTTAACTCTTTGTTACGCATATAATTTATCGTGGATTTTAATTGTTCAACAATTATCTGCAATTTAAATAGGTTGTAAATCATCCTGGGGAAACTTGCCTTGAAGATTGGTATAAACCTCTAAAAATAACTATAATTCAAAAAAGAGTTTGTGGTAGGCTTTGCTAGTATTTGTCTTGTTATGGCCTGAGTGTGTGGGTCGGAAAGAGCATGGTCAGCCTTGGTGGATTAAGGAGAAGTGGAGTATTTCTGTAATGCAGCAATGGACCATATAGGAAACGCGAGGCTGGTCAGAAGACCCACCTGAACAGTAAGTACTGCAAGCCATGATCTCTGGTTCACAAAGTGTCCCAGCGCACAAGATTGGGTGGAAACCCGAATAATCTCTCTCTCACAGCCACTTCATTTAGGCTGAAATAGCTGACTTGACTTGGCTTGGCCATCTGGGGAACCGCTCGCTCAGATTGCCTGGTTACTCTGGGTAACCACGGTGGAAAGAACTGTATTTTTCTCCCCAGATGACCTCCCTGCTTCGGATCCTGGATGAGAGAGAAGCACTGAATCACGATCGCCTGCCACTGTAGGGAGTCACGGAGATGGCCTTGGAGGAACTCTTCGGAAACAAATGGTGCAGAAGCCTTGAGCCCTGGGAAAGGGGAATGGGTTAGGAAGAGGCTCAGTCGGGATCCTGCCCGGCTCCGTGGGGCATAAGGCGGCGGGGAGGCAAAGCACGATCAGGCTTGCAAGGTTCTGTTGCTAGAGCCTCTTAATAAAGCTTAGCTCTAGTCTTCCGGGGGAGTCTGTTTCCTGATCTGCCCCACCCCAAAGGTCTGAGAGACAGAAGGTTGCTGCTTTTGGAAAGGAGGGGCAGCCTGTTGAAGGTTTTGGTAAGAGCTGCTACACTGACCGGTGTGAGGAATTGCTCTCACACCTGCTGGTAAGCTTTGAGCAGCTCCAAGGCCAGATTATCTCCTCCTCTTTCCATGAAAGCCCATGGGTTCCTGAAAGAGCTGGAGCTTTTCCCACAGGTTTAGCTGGTGATCCAGGTGAGGCCCTGGTTGCACACTGAGCTGGAGATGTGAGGTGGGGTGTCGTCATAGTTTCTTCCAATTACAGTGATACCTCGGGATACGAACGCCTCTGCTTGCGAATTTTTCGGGTTACGACCAACTCGGGATACGCCCAGAGTCACGGAACGGATTAAGTTCGTATCCCGAGGTACCACTGTACCTTGTTTGACATCCTGGCTTTCAGAGACATTGTGAAGGATGACACCAGAGAACAACGGTGGGAGCATTTCTTGTGGAGAACCCATCACAGAGTCAGCCGAGCCCACTCAGAGCATTTATTTATTTATTTACTTACTTACATAATTTATGTCCCGCCTGGTTTGAACAATTCCAGGCAGCTCATATAAAATCATAAATATAAAAAATGTTACAAGAACAATCAGTTGCAGCAATCAGCATCACCTAACCATCCTCTCAAGCCCCCAAAGCCCAAACAGCATCCTCACTGCCTTCCTGAACTCTACAGTAATTATCCGGATGCCATGAAATGTGGGCAGTCGAGGCCTTACTCTGTACATCCACAAGTCACTTTCCAGGGGGTTTATTTCAGCTACACCCAGCGTTGTGGAGTCCTTGGGGTTCTCTGAGCTGGGTGGTTTTCTTGCAAACGTTTTGTTACTCCGCTAGGTAACATCTTCAGTGCTAGCCCAGCTCAGAGAACCCCAAGGCCTCCACAGTTCAACCCTGAGCTACACATATTCGCTTCTATTGACACCTGGAGTTAACATCTGTCCTGCTACTTGGGGTAGTCTGGCTTGCACTTTCAGATTAAATTTATTCATCTCCCTCCCTGCTGACTTGGATGTTAAGAGTTTGCACAGATTCCTAGCATCTTCCTAGCATTTTGGAGGATCACTTTCAGTCACTGTAGCCTCACAATACGGACAACCATCGCCCTGATTCCTGTCTTCCTGGCTGTTGAAACTAGTCAGTCCAGACTAAGAACATGTTCTTACATGAGGCGATGATGTCTAACTTCCTTAAAGAGTCATACAACCCCTTCAGAAGAAACCTGCCTTGATCCACAAGTAATGGTCAACTATTCTTTATTTACCCATGCATCCACTTAGGGAAGATACCCATTTCAGTCTGGGTCCAGACCCAAACCCAATGAAAAACCCTTGATTGCTCTGGTCATGGAATGAATGGGTTTGATTGAGGGATCCACTGGACATTTAGTCACTCTTCCTGCTCAGGGCAAGAATCCACGAAATCATCTGACCGGCGGCCAGCTACCCATCCAGCAAGCTGAGTCCTCCACTCCCCTAGGCAGGTGGTTCCCCTGTGCCTCAGCTCCCACGACGCCTCCCAAATCTTTCAGCCAGTCCTTCTTGCCCTGCTCTCCATTTCGGTTGGGAATAGATCTGCCTCTCTTACACACAGCAACCTGTATCTATATCACCTTTGTGGACCTCTATCAATCTCATGTTATTTTCCCTTTTGCAAGCCAAACACGGGCAATTCTTCATTTTACAGCTTGGACTCCGGCTCTTATAATCCCAGCAGGTCACTTCTGGACCTGCTCCAGTCTTTCCAGGGCTCGTTTAAAGAGCTGAGGTCAGAGCTGGACACAATCCTCCAGGTGCAGTCTAAACAGGTCAGGGTCCAGTGAAATCTGGACGAGGTGGTTTTCTCACATATCCCCTTTCTCCGTAGACACTTAAGACGGCAAAGCAGATTGTTCGTTTCTGGCTCAGCCTCCTCTGCCTTTCCAAGGAGCAGCTAATGACAGAGTATGGCGGCAGGTGACATTGCACACGTGTGTTACTTTGCACACGTATGAAACCTTGTTGATGGGAAGGGAAGGCAGGTTGCAGGTTTCTGTGACAGCCACACACTCCTGGTTCTTCCTCCAGCCTGAGGCAGTGCTCTTAGGACAATCGGTTAGCAATCGTCTTCCTTATTTGCATCCAAGAATTTTTAAAAATCATTGCAATAGCACTACAAGCAAAAATGATTTACAGTCCTGTACAAGCCATAAACAGAATGCCTGACAACATAAGCCAGGATACTGTAGTATAGGAAAAATGGAAGTGATTGTGTTTGTTTATTAAAGGGGGTCCTGTGTGTCCTTTATTGCCAGGAACAACACGTTGCTTTCTTAGGCAACTGGTGCAGCTGAACAGTTCTTTCCTTCACGCTGTCTTCCTGCTCTTTTAAAATCCTATGGGAGAAAAAAGGACATGGGGGGGAATTGCTGGTTTTCCAAGCCGGGCCATCTGTTCTATTCTTGTTTCTGGCAGTAGCTGCCTGCATGCCCCTTGGAGGCGTACACGAGGACCTTGCTTCTCTCCAGTGCTTTAGGCCCGGAGACAGATTGTCTCTGATGCAGAAACACCGTGAGACACCCTGGCTGGTGGTCATTCTCAGACATGCTTCCTGTGAACGCTTTTTCAGAGAGAAGCCATTTCACCAATTAATTATGAATGAGTAAGCCCAGAGCAGACAACGGTGGAAAGACTTTCCCTGTATGTGCTACGAACTCACCCTGTTGGACTTGAAAACATATCCTCCCCTGCTGCGCCGAGCGCTCACTCTGCCGCACTTATGTCCCTCAGGAGCAAATGTGAGATGCTCAGAAAAGGCAGATTCACGTGAAACATCCTGCGAGCGCAGGCCTGGCCTATCCCCTGCCCAGCCTACTCTGTGGAGCTGGGCTACAGCTCCTCTTCCACGCTCCTCACCAGACATGTGGAGAGTGATGTGGCATTGTGCCACATAAGATCGGACAGACGCTGGCATGCAAAGTTGCACTTTGTGGCTTGTGTGAAAATTTGCACGAGGAAAGTTTAACATCAGAAACACCCCTGCCTAGCTGGAACTGCTTCAAGGAATTTATGTGCGCTTGATTTTAAATTTCTTTTGACATAATGAATGAAAATAGTCAAATTCTCCATCCCCACCTAAAGTGTCGCAGGGGACAACATTTTCAGGAGCATTTTTGAGCTCCCTCGCTTGCTTGCTTGCTTTCTCTCTCTCTCTCTTTCTAGCCATGGACGCCGTGTCTGGCCATCCACACGCCTCCTGCTATTGTAGCCACAGGCAGGGTGGGCAGCGCTACAGTGAAAGACAAGCAAGGGCAGCCACAGGAAGGCAATGCCTGGCCCCTGGAAGGGCAGGGCCTCCCTTGCCGGGGTGGAGGAGGCGGAAAAGCCCCTCTTGAGGTGGACGGCCTGTCATCTTCCCGAGGGGAAAAGAATGGCCATTCTGTGAGAAACAGCAAATGTCTACCGGGGGCTCTGAATCAAATATAGGACAAACTAGAAATCAGCATCTTACCAGCAACCCAGGAACTGCGTAAACGTCTCAACCTCTTACCTAAAGCTAGAACGCATCTCACTAAAGGCAGAATTTATCCAGTCAGATTGCATAAACTGACCCAGGGGAAGAACCGATTAACTCACACTTTCAACCGCTGGCTGCAGGCATGGCCCGGGGGAGCCAGTGGGCAGCTGGGGGTGCTGGTCGCTGCAGGAAGAGCACAGATGGCCCACTCCTCTGTTCTGCGTCCCCTCCCCAAAGTCCCACGTGCAAGCCGGACGCTCTTATGTTGCTTTCCGGCACTTAGTTGACTAATGTCCTCTTTTCCTTACCTGGCCAGGTGCAGTATAGATGCTTTGGTATTCTCACCCGTCAAGGCACTGCACTCATAAAAAATTAAACTGTAATCCTAGAATAGAGAAGAGAAAAAAGATTGTCTAGAATTAAAAGATTCCCAATAGTAGTTTTCCAGCAAGGACATAGGAACCGGAACAAAAGACACCATTTGGTCCCTAAAATTCAAACATGGAAAATGTACCAAATGAATTCGTGCTCTGCTACCTCCTTAGGGTAGAACTAGATTGACGGGACAATTAGAGGGGGTGTGCAAATAGAATACTACTCCCAGGGTTCTCAAGCAACAGATGAGCAGAAGGATGGTCAGTGGAACTTAAAAAAGGGGGTTGCACAACCCCTCTAACATTTTCCAGATCCAAGTATCCAAGATACTTCGCTATGTTTATGGAGACCTCAGTGGATGTTTAAGACAGATCGGGGGTCAGCCTTTTATGCTGGAGATGTAAGATCCTGAGGGGACCTTAAGACATAATTTGAGCTTCCTCTACAGATATAGACCAGCTGACTATGACAGACTCAAGGGGGTTTACAAAGCAGTGCAGCACGATAAAAACAGTAAAGACACGTACTACCAGGAACAGCATTAGATGGGCCAGGTCCACCATTTGCACTAAAAAGTCGATCAGAACCCGATCATTTTTATTTATTTATCAAATTTGTCACCACCCATCTCGTTGAAATGACTCTGGGCAGTTTACACATTTGTTATTGCCTTACCAATGGCACACAAGGAGGCATACCTCATAACTCAGGGGGCAAGGTGTTCCATAACATGGGGGCTGCCACCAAGGAAGCCCCCTGCCAGGCCCCCACAGCTTTTACTTCAAGAGGCACGGGGATCCTCAGCATTATCTGGGCCATGAATTGCTGTCGTGAGATGGGTTGCCTCTCCCAAGGTCTGGTAAAAATATGTTGGCCGAGACGTGGGCAGAGTGGCTGGTGGAATCGCGGGGAGGGTGGAGAAGAAAACCCTGAGGGAGAAAATAAGGGTGTTGCTAAAATGGGGTCTTTAAAACCCATTTTTCAATGAAAAATAAAACTCATCTTTGTCTGCATGCTAATGCTCAGCGTGTGGGAGATAAGCATGAATTCTTAATAAGTAAAAGCAAATAGGACTGAACGGTTATATTGTAGGAAGACTCCCATCATGGGGATACTGTACAGCAACTGAAGGATAATATGTGCTCAAAAGAAAGGCAACAAAAAGGAAGGAGTTGTGTATCTCGGATAAAAGAAGTGGGGAGAGAATAGAACAATGTTAATAAAACACTATTATTGTTCACCCAGCCAAGGAGAAGATATGAACGACGCTTTCTGAAAGTGAAATGCAGATCTTTCAAAGAAATGAGAACTACTGGGAAATGTCTTAACTGTGCTGCTGACTTTTTCTTTCAGAGAGTGGAGGAGGGACAAGAGGAACCATCCTCCCTGACCTGATACTGATCAATACTGAAGGTTTAGTTGAGAAAGGAGAAGAATCAGAAATCTTGGGGGTCAGTGACCATATACTGCTGGAGTTCTTGACTGTAGGGGAAAGTAAAACCGAGAGTATCTTAGACTTCCGTAGAGAGTAAGAAAGATGACCATGACAGAGATATGCAAAAGTTTTTGCATATTTCTGTCAAGGTCATCTTCCTCACTCTCTACAACTAAAGGACTAAAAGGTGCCCAATCCTGGAGGGCTGGGGAACTAATGGGGCATGAAATGATTTCCAGAGAAAGAGGCAGACTTGTTGGATAGCTAAGCCTCTACCTTCAGTTCACTACCCTCAGAAGGCTGGGCTACTAAACTTCAGCCACAGTACAGATGAAGCTTTTAGGTTAGCAGAGCTTAATTATATAATCAGGAGGCTCCAGGAATATTTAGGGCACATTCCACCTGCAAGGAGTTCAAGCACAGGGGAACTGTAAGCAGATCCAGAAGACAAGCAGGGATTTCCTGCCGTTTGGAGAAATCTTTGGCAGCAAGGTCATAGTTATCAGCAGATGGTCACGTTGAAGCAGATGGGACAATGTCTTTGGACAGCTCCAGCACTAGTGCAATTGCCTCTATGACTTACATGGCTCTGGAGCCTCACAGCCATTACACCCAAAATAACACAGACTAATTGAAAGGTGTGCACCTGAACAGAGCCATGGAATGAACCATGCTCCAGGTCATGGCTGAGTGGGAAAAGGAAACTGCTTAGTGGATGACATGATGTGGAATATGGAGGACGGAACACCAAGGACTGGTCAACTGAAGCTTCTGCTGGATCTGAAACAAGATCCACTAGTTTGAAACTGTCTTGGGGGAAGCCGCAAGATCCCAAGAACTGATGCACCCTTTCAAGAATTGCAGACAGGTGCTACGCTCACATGCTCCAAAGTACCTTTCCACTTTTGGATCCAGAGTGCTGCACAGCCACATTAATTATGTGCCTTGCTTTCCCCAAACCTGTACACCCCAGTGGTCCTCAGTCCGTGGCACTTGACTCTTCATACTCTCTTAAAAATCTGGTCGAGCTCACGCAAGCACAACAGGGCACTGTCAAACCTGCATGTGCAGGCCCATCAGGGAACAAAGCTCAGAAAGTTTTGAGGCAAGGTTAACTCTGTTGGTCTAGCTGTCTGTCAAAACCCATCCATTAAGCAGTGTCACTGATGGGACCCGGGAAGTATGCCTTCTCCATTCTGGCCCCTGTGCTCTGGAACAACATACTCCTCCAGATACGTCTGCCCCCACCCCGTTCTATTCAAAAGAGCTTTGAAAACCAGGCCTTGTGTTAGAGCGGATGGCACGCCTGATTGATTTGAGTGGCTGCTTTTCTTCTGGCATTGGCGGGGTGTGTTATTTTTCTTTTAATTGTATTGTATGATTACTGAATGCCACCCAGAGTTGTTACAGAGTTGGGTGACCTTATAAATGTCTAAAACAAACTAATAAAACAAAACCATTTCCAAATCATAGCAGGTTTAGAATGCATGCATTTATCATTTAGCTTTATTTAGGGGAGGCACAGACATTCATTGATGGCTTCAGGGAGTCAAGACAGTGCAACTTTTGAGAACCCACCTTAATTTTCACCTTTGCCCCCTTTCTGCCACCTCCTGCCTTGAAACAAGTATGGATGGGGCTAAGAACGTGGTGCCACACCTCAGAAAGAAGAGGGCGGCAATTTTCGATATTGCTTTAGTCATGGTCTGGGTCCTCTACATGGGTCACTCTTCCTTTCTCACTTTGCAAAATAGGAAGTGGACTCCATCTTTTAAATTTGCAGGGCCACGTTGTGAGGTTGGACATCAACCTGTAAAGACCCACTGAATATGGATCCAAGATACCAAAGAGAAGTCTCACTTCCCGATGGACCTGCATCCTTGCTGCCATTGCTATGACTGGGGTGGGCACCTCCCTCGGAACCTGGTTACTGTGGCAACCACTCTACAGAACCTCCCGCCACCACCGAGAACCGGCACAGGAAATAACCTTGGAGGGGGGAAGCACCCTTTGAAAACGGCAACAACTTTTTCCACCTCATTTTTTCACACTGTGACTTTGCAGTTATGGCTCCCTAAAATGATAAATAACAGAGTAACTCCAGCCAACCTCACAGAGGGCTACTCCTATTTTGCGTCTTGCTTTTTTTCCACCAGCTACTGAATTTTAGCAGCGAGACCCTAGGGAGCCTTGGGGCTTCCCTGCCCAAGAAATCAAGCATGACCCAGCGTTGTGGCATCTGCACTTGTAGTGGCATCTAGTAACAAGAGAATCTGCTCCAAACTAGATGGAAAGGAAGCAAGACCTCCCAATTCCCTTATCAGGAAGTTAACAGCTCCGTGGGTCCAAAATGAAACAGCTCCTGGTGCTTCTGTTGAAACAAGTTACTGATTCAAGATATTTTTTTCCCTGCAACTGGTGAAAACAAGATGCAGCAGAATAAGCACGTTTACTTACGACCATCACAGAACTATCGGGGTTCCACAGTTCTAAGGGCATCAATAACTTCAAATCATAGAAGGAAGGTATTCAATGAATAAATTCTCTAACAAGTTGTTTCCAGGGATATGTACTAAAGGAACATGTATTTCCAGTGCTCAAGAACAGCCTCCCTTCTTACTGTACCTTGGCTAGATGTTCTCCCAATCCATTAGGAACTTCTCGCTCTTTTTCCTTATCAATTTTATTGCCAAGCAAAAGGACGGGAATGTTCTCCCCAGTTGCCTCCTAGGAAATAAGGAAAAGCAGTTCAAGGAGAGAGAATTTTCCTGCAGGAAAATATTAAGACGCAGTCCACAAACTGACAAATGGATACATGCATTAGGCCATAGGCAGGTCCTGAGTTACATTATGAAAAGACTGAATTTTGAATTAAGGAGGAAAAATTAAAGCTAAGCACTGTAATTCCACTATCAAGTATTTTTGCTTTGGTTTCAAAAACGACTTCAACTTTCAGACTCCCTCCCAGCCTTTCTAGTTAGAGAACGGACTTTGTTATTCTGGTCTGGCTGAAAGGGTCTGGCGTTCCAGTCCCAGCAACGAAGACACAGGCAGTGCAGCCATGCAGCTGCGACTTGCCTCAACAAGCTGCCTTAGCGCGTGATGGACGTGCAAAGCTTGAAAGGCATGCTTTCTTTCAGCAGCGTTTGGGATGAAGCCGCCCCGCGAAGCAATGGGTCCAAGAGCAAAGCGAAGCAAAATGATCAGATTGCTCCCCACTCCCGATTCACAGCTCTTCTCAATCTTCTCCCACAAAGCTCTCCTGAGGGGAGAAGGCTGGGAGGAGCCTTCTCCCTCCCCCAGCCCTGGCCAATGGCTTCAGGCCGGCTGCTTTGGGCAAATGCCGTGCCAAAGGGGTCTCGGAGCCCGGAGTTCCCTGAGAGCCAAAGGTCTTCCAGGCCGAATGGCTTCAGAAACATGCACCAAAGCCAGCCGCCTGGAAGCTGAAGTTCTGCACAGACCTAAGACAATCTGGGTGCAGCAGGTGGGAAAGGCGACGTTTCAGAACCGTAAAATATATGGTAGTTTTCATACAACAAAACGTTTGCCATTATGATTGTCAGTTGGTGTTTCTGGGTAAGCAGGATCCATCCATTAAGAAAAGGTCACTGTGCTAATGGCACACCCTTTCGTCTCGGCCAGCAGCTGAAAAATCACTCAGTCTCTGGGAAGTCTTGCTTTGGTCCCACTGCTGGGCCTCCTTGGTAGCAGTGTTTCCTCAGGACCTTTTCTAATAGTGGGGAGAGGCAAGAAGGAGAGGATGCAGCCCTGCCACAGGGACAAGGAGCCCGCCACAGCCCCGGCCCCCATCCTCTGCACAGGCTGGCTCCCTCTTGGCGCCTGCTCCCGATCACGAGGGCAGGAGAGGCGCTGGAGAGGTGGAGAGGAACCGCTGGATGTGCCCCTCCTCTGCTGCATCGAGGGTCAGAGTGGAGGCAACGGCGCCCTTTCTGCAAAAGGGCTAGAAGCTGGGTCTGGGTTTTCCTGCAGGCTTGCAAGCATTCAGGACTTTGGAGCTTTCAAGAAAGGCAGATGGTGCCCCTGCATGACCTGGCCATCACCCTGTTGCTCCTCCGTATTCAGATAATGCCGCGGGAGATGGTGGCAGGAGGGAAAGAGCTGAATGACCGGTCAATCTTCTAAATCCCAGGGTAGCTCACCTGAGTTCTCCCATTACCCAATATGTGCAGGCTGGGGGGGCAGGCCATTTGGGAGGGGGTAGGGGCCTGGAGGATGACCCCCTTGGCCACAACTTGCCCCCGAGGGGCGGGATGGGCCCCATTTTGAAAAGCAGCCGAGCACATGCCTTTCCTAGCGCTCTTGGAGAGAAGAGCCCAAGACAGAAGGCAGCCGGCACTTTAGTGAGGCTCCTGGCTGGGCCAGCATGACATTTTATGGTTGCCGTTATCTGGTTTTATTGATGCTTTATTGTTTTAGGATTGTAGGTTGCCTACAAGGGGTGGAGGAGCTGTGTACAACTGCAAATAAAACTAACTCAATAAATGCATTACTCTACCTGGAGGAGATACAATGTGCTTGCAACTGCTCTTTACTCATTCTGCCTCATCTGGAGTATGTGACAAGTTTTCGTGGACCCCGCTTTCTGAAGGGCTAGGGTTAGGGTTGATGCGGGACAGAGCTACAGGGACGCAGGATCCCCTCACTACGGCATCCTCCTCACTCTCAAGGGGTGCCGAGCATCCCTCCCAAAGCGCACCCACAGCCTCCCTCTTGCACGCTCCTTCTCTCCTGCCTGCTTTCTCTGAGATGCTCCCGGCCTCTGCGTGCTGCAGCATCAGTGGGGCATCGGTCTTGCAACGTTTCTATGGGGAGTGATTTTGAAATCTGTCTGAGCACCCGGGTAGAAGTACGAACTCTGCTGGCCTACTGACCAGCGAGAAGCGGGAAAGTGTGCCGTGGAAAGGGAGCAGGAAGCTCCTAGGACCAGAAGCAAACGGAAGCAGGGAAGCTTTTAGTGATATATTTTTATGAGTTAGCTGATTGTACAGGCGTTATTGTTACATCACTGCTTTGTACATCGTTACATTACATTGTTATATAACTGCTCTGAGAGCAGCATAAAAATGTAATCCAGTGTAATCAATCAATCAATCGATCAATCAATCAATCAGTAACATACAAGGGCCTCTGAAACCTGTCGCCACTTGGGAAAAAAGTCAACATGCTGGAGCATTTAAATCAAATCAGACTTGCCTCTATGCTCCCCAGCCATTGCTTTACAGCCACAAAGGTGTCTCGTGCTGTTACATCATACATCACAACAACACCGTCGGCTTTTCGGAAGAACTGCTTAGTGATGCTGCGGTACCTGGGGATCAATTATTTCACAGAATGTAAAGGAGCCATTGAACCCAGTGCTTCCCTGCTCAGTCCAAATTCAATCCAAATTTAAGTATTCCAGGCCTATGGTGGTCTAGTCTGTGCTTGAACACGCCTAGCGAAGGGAAGCCCACCACCTCTCTAGGTCATTGGTCTAAATTGCTCTTACCATTGAGAAAGTTGTTTTTTCACATTTAATCAGAATTTGCTTTCCTTTTTTAATTGCTCTTTAATTACCAACAGTGAAATAGCAGCTAAAGAAAATAACGCCTATAACAAAACTGAGTTTCTAAGATTTAAGGAGCACATAGACTCAGAGGGGTCATTAGATTGATTTTCCAGCAAGAAGCTGTTAAGAAGGAGCTTCTCCATCAGAACACATTTTTCATACATAGGTCGTCTGAGTTCCTCCAGTCCTTAACCTTTAACCCTAACTCCTGGCACCGGAGTTGAGTTTGTAAACTTATACTCCTAGTAGCTAATTCTTGTAAAAAGCTGAAGGGCAGAAAACTCCATCTGGAATCCTGGCTTTCAAAAAACATAGCTAGCTCTGAAAGTAACACCTTGTAGAGGGCAGAGGGAATGGCCTTGAAAGTACGAAGGAAGAGCCGCTACCAAGGCAACGGTCAGATAAAAGGGGCCTGAGGGCGGGCCAAGGAAGTAACTTGAGAAAATGTCTCAGACAAGCCCCTCCCTAGTTCACATGAAGATAAGGGGGGGGAGCACATTCAGGCTTGCAAGGTTCTGTTATTGTAGCTGTTACAATAAAAGTAGTCCTGACCTATATGCCATTGGTTTCCTAGTCTGGTCTACCTTGGGGACTGACACACCTCCCGCAGGAATTGGGCTGAACTACAAAACACAGGTATTTCCTGCCAAGATCCAGCCAGCAGGTAAGAAGGCCTTGGGGTACCTTTCTTGCCCGGCAGTGTCCCAGAGTTGCAGCACCACCTGGCTGCCATCCAGGGTCATGGTTTTCATGCAGTAATCCACACCTGTAGAAGACAAACAGCTCCAATTGTCTCTCCTTGGCACATTTTCTCAACTGCATCTGATTCTTTAGGAGAAAGGAGAGCTAGGACAGCGGAGGGTCAGAAAGAAAGCTGTTGGTGCCCTGCTTGCTGCCACGGAGGAGCGGGGCCCTGGCACGGCTGAGCAAATTGTTCTGTGCCACATCGGTCAAGATGCCCAGCCAGAACGAAGTAATTCACAGAGATGGGAACAGCTTGGCTTGGACTACATTTTTATCATTATTTGGAATCGGCAGCTAACACAAGAGGGTCTCTTGTGGGTCTTAATCCGCCTCCCTCTCTCCTCATGCAGTCTTAAAATACACACTTTGGTACTGGACTTTTTTTTTGCTAGTTACTATTTTAGTTGTTTTTAATATCTCAATTTTAAAATTTTAAAACTGAAAACTGCCAAGAGATTTTGGTGGTCACTGGTATACCAAGTTAATAAAATGATAATTGCTTTGCCAGTTTTTCCCCACACTAAGTACAGCTGCATCTTTATCTTCCCACCTCACTGCTAAAACTCTCTGGTTACCAGTTAAAAATTGAGAATAAAACTGGATCACAGTCTTGGAATGGCCACTCCTCCCTTGTTCTAGGGAAGCTTCAAGTTTCCATAGCTATAATCCATTTAGAGGACAGAAAGCAGTTTAAAAACACAAACCACCTTCTAATATTCTACATGGTGCTCTATGTGGGGCTGCCCTTGAAGACCACCCAAAAGCTTCAACTGGTCCAGAATGCAGCAGCATGAGCGGTGATGGGCATGCCTCAGTATGCCCATGGAACACTTCTGCTTTGCAAGCTACGCTGGTTGCTGGCTTGGTTCCAGGTGCAATTCAAGGTGCTGACTGGTACCTCTAAAGCCCTCCATGGCATAGGGCCTGGCTACTTGAAGGACTGCCTTTCTCCCATAACACCTGCCCAGCTGATTTGATCCTGCAGGGTTAGCATGTCCAGGTTCCTTTGATTAAACCATGTCATCTATCGGGACCCTGGAAGCATGTCTTCTCTGTTACAGCGCCTGCCCTCTAGAATGAGGTGCCCCCAAGATTTGAACGGCCCCCACCCTGCTGCTATTCAGAAGAATGGTGAAGATCTGGATCTTCACCCAGGTCTTGGTGAGGGAGAGCGAGATCCCTCACTTCATCATACTTGGCAGCTTTTATCTTGTCTGTTTTACTGATTTTATTGTAATCTCTTTTATTGTTGTGAGCCACCCAGGGTTGTTGAAACCTGGGTGGCATACAAGTTTAATAAATTATTATTGTTGTTGTTGTTGTTATTATGGTTGGTCACACAGTTGGCCAGATGTTTAGACTGGATTTGGCATTTTTATCCACCTACTGAGTCCTTCCCAAGGACCTGGAATAGACAGATGTTGTTTGATGATGTTAAAGGTATTGACACAGGATATAAGCTGTTCCAAGTCAAGCTGTCTTCTTCTTCTTCTTCTTCTTCTTCTTCTTCTTCTTCTTCTTCTTCTTC